CGCGGGCGGCAGGGTGGGCAGGGGCCGCGGTCTGGGTTGGGGGGCGGGCGGGAGCGGCTCCTGGTGTCGTCCTCCCCCCCCCTCCAGCTCCCCGCCACCCCCAGGCCCTCGGGAGACCCCCGGGGAGAAGTTGAAGTGCCGGGGCCTCCCACCTCCGAGTCCCCACGTGGGTACGCGTCGCAGAAGCCCGGGAGGGGAACCGGGTCTCCCTTCTCCGCCGAGAAACTCCTGCAAAGTTCCCAGGCAGCTTTCGGCGGTGCCCCCGGGGCTAATGAGCCCCGGACCCCGGGGGATCCGGGAGAGGGGTGTGAGACGGTGGCATTCCTGGGTGACCGGCTTTGTGCCCTCTCCAGGACACCCCCTAGACGTTTGGCTGTGAACAGATCGCGCCCCCCCACCCCAAAACAGATGCGAGGTGGGAAGGGCAGGAGAGCCAAGGCCTCCTGGGCGAGTTGGGGTCCGAGTTGGTTATGTGGTCGCTGTGTGTCTAGCATACCACCCATGTTGGCACTTGCAACTTGGTGTGTGTGTGTGTGTGTGTGTGTGTGTGGTGTCTTGTGTTGAAATGTTGATTTCCAGAACTCCAAAAATTAACACCCCTGCCCCCGGGACCATGAAAAGCCCTGGACATATGTTTTAAACTTCTTGGACACCGGATGCTCTTTGGGATTTGGGAAAGGTTGAGGTTTAGGGTGCCAGCTCGGGAGAGTTGGAACGCTCGCACGTGGGCACAGACCCACCCCCCCAAAAAAGCATGCAGCCACTGTATCACCTCAAACGGTGTCACCCACTTTGGGTGACAGGCTTTGTTGGCAGGTAGGATCTTTTTTTTTTTTGTCTCCCAGCCTCCTTGGTCAGGGTCTAGGATGGAAGGGCAGTGGGGTTGCGTTGTCTGGCTGTGGGACGCCCGAGACATGCGCGATCTGGGAAGAGGTGCCCCAAGGGTCTTCAACTGGGACCTTTGGGGGTTGTGGGTCACAGTGGCAGGCAGCCCCTGGGACTCGGAAGCCCTGGTCTGGGCTTGCTGGCACCTGCGTTCAGCTCAAGTTCTTTTTCTAATGGGGCACGGCGGGAGGCGTACCGGGCTCTCCAGGTGCCCGGCATTTTGGCGGGGGCCCGCCCGCCCGCCCGCTGGCCGGTATTACTTTGCAGAAAGCCCTGCCATCTGCATCCAAGATGGACTCTCACAGTGGCTCCTCCGCCTTCCCTGTCATCATCCCTCACGCCCTCCAGCCCTGCCTCCTGCTCACTGAGTTGCCAAGCTGCGGCCTGGCCGGCGGTGGCAGTGGCGGAGTTAGACAAAGCCCCCGCCTCCCCCCGCCCCAGAGCCCCCCCCCATCCCCACCCCAGGCGCCCCAAGTGGCGGGAAGGCCGCCAGCTCCCCAGGCCCAGGCCGCTCTTTGTCTGGCGTGGGGGCGGGGAGCTGCGCCTGGCCCCAGGAGCTTCCTGGCCTCTGCCAAGCCCTCCCGGCTCTCTGCACACTGCGCTCATTGTCTGAGATGCTCCACACCGGCTGTGCTGACGTGGAGCCGCCTCCCTGGCCTCCCTCAGCCCAGGTGCCAGTGTCTTCGGGAAGGAGAGGGCCTGAGCGGAGGACCCTGCCATCACGACTACCGGGGGGGGGGGGGGGGGGGCTGATACCTCCCCAACACTGAACACGGGCCTGGCTTTGATACAGGGTCAGTCAGGTTCCTCTCCACTCCTCCAGGGTGATGGAAAGCCAAGCACTGAGGTATTGCTTGAGGTCCTCCACCAGTATTTCTTCTTCCTCCTCCTCCTCTATCCCCCCCTCAGCCCCCTAATCCCATCCGCATCTTCTATTGGGGAGCATGGCCTCAAACAGATGGGGAAACTGAGGCCCGCAGGGCTTTGACAGAGTCCCACAGCCAGGAGTGGCACTGCTGGGGCAGACCCCCCAAGTCCGGGAGAGACGATGTGCCAGGGAGGTGAGAAATGTCGAAAAGCGTGGGGAAGCAGAGGAGGTGCTCCTGGCCCTTCAAGGGTGGCCACGCTACCTTGTATGTGGTGCTGGAGTCCTCCAAAGGCTCTATGATGGCACACCACCCCTTCAGCGTTTACCCCCCAGCCCTTCTGAGTCCAGAAAAGGCTTGACAACCTGGAATGGGCAGGATTGGAACTCACCTCCAGGCCTGTAAAGGAGCCGTCTCTGAAAGGCTGGGGAAGTGGAATTGGCTATGTGCTGAGGAGGCTAGGGTTGTTCAAGTTGGGTGGCACATCCCTAGTATGCTTTGCTCGGGAACCACTTCCATAGTTGGTGCCTAAAGCTGGGTGTGCGTTCTGTACCTAGGGAAACGCTTCCAGTGCTGCCCCTGCTCGTGGAGAGACAGGTGTTGGGGTGTCAGCTTACCCACTTCCTGTGCAGTGTGGCTCACCCTGCAGCCAGGCCCTGGGATTCACTGCTCCTCCCAGCTCCCGCAAACCCAGCTCCTGGACTTCCTTCCTCCTGCCCCTCCCCTCGCCCACACCAAGTGAGCAGCTGGTGACTTGGCCAGCCTGGCACCAGCTGTCCATCCCCGGGGCCAAGTCTGCAGAGCCCGCTGTGTGCGTGAGAGACAGTTTGGCTCTGGGGGCGGTGGTCAGGCAGCTGCCGAGGAGGACTAGGTAAATTCTCCATGGTTACTGCTGTTTGTAATTCGAAGGACATCCTTCCCCCCCGCCTAATGGCCACTTGGTTGCCATTATGGGTTTGCATGCTCCAGCCAGGGCTCCTCATTCCATATCCAGGGGATGACATTCTGTGCTGGGCTCCGGGCCCTGCTTTGTTCTGACTGCTGCACCTGGGTAGTGATCTCAAGTGCTCGATTCCATGCATGGGGTCTTCTGCCCCTCTCTTTGGAGTGCAGAATGCACGGTGTGTGTGTGTGTGTGTGTGTGTGTGTGTGTGTGTGTGTGTGTTGTGTAGACAGTGGGGAGTTCTTTGGAGAGGGCATGAGAGCCCAGAGGGCTTGCGGGGCTTGTCTGAGGCACAAAGGCTGCTCTCCAGACCTGCTTTGTGTGCGTGCAGGGCACCTGTCACCCTCCAGGGTTCTGTGCCTTGAGGTCTTTGCGGGTCTTCCTTGCTGTATTTGTCCAGCAGAGGTGGGTGCGTAGGAACACAGAGGTGGCAGTATATAAGGAATTCTAGCCCAGGTTAGACCAACCTTGGTAGTGAGTGGGAACTGGGATGGGGTCAGCAAGGATTAGGCTGGACACAGCTGTCAGCTTCAGTTTTGGCAGGGGTCTCTCTCTCTTTTGGAGTCCTGTGCATGGGCTGGGGAGGGCTGTGTCTTTTGAGGTCCTAGGTGTGTGGGGAGTGTCCCCCCCTTATGCACCTGGGTGTCTGGGCTGTGACCGTTAGAGGTTGAGCTGCGGTCTCTGACGTATAAATGGAGTTCAGAGGTGGGGGCCTGGATGGGGGCTGTTGCAGTAGCCAGTGCCCTGGGTACAGCTGTCCAAGGCTGGAGCTGTCTAAGGCTGGGGGTCGCCAACGTCTCCCTCTCTTTGCTGCAGGAAGCGTCCACTCGCCTTCTACGAGCATGGCGACATCCTCCCAGTACCGCCAGCTGCTGAGTGACTACGGGCCGCCATCACTAGGCTACACCCAGGTATGGGAGTGTGGGTGCTGGGAGGAGGGATTGAGGGGACAGAGGCGGGTCAGAGCGTCCCCATGCTCTCCTGTGATTCCCTAGCCAGGGCCGGGGCCTGACTCCCGTCCTTCACTTGCTGGATTAGAACGCAGGGCACTTGGGACCGTTTCAGGGGACATGAGGGGCGCAGGGAAGGGCCAGTGATCACTGGGCTGCTCAGGCCGCCAGGTCATGTCTCTGTGGGTTCTTTTGCGTATTTCCTGGGCAAGTAAGGTTCAGTTGGTGTTGGGCCTCTATGCTGTGACAGAGGAGTTGGGGACAGCATATTTGGAGCTGGTGATGAGTGTGGTCCCCAGTCATCTCCTTGGGTTATAACTGGTTCTATCCTTTATGAGACCATGACCCTCTTGGAGACCCAAATCTCTGATCACTCCATTGCAGTGACCCCAGGGTCATGCTCAGGAGGCAGCTGGCTGCTGCTGTTATCTTCAGGTGGAATCCGCAGGAGGGACATGCTGTGCATGAAGGTGTTTTTGCAGCCCTGGTTGCCAACAGAAAAATTCTTTCTGTGGGCCAGACCTTTCGCCAGTGTTCCGGGGTTGCCGTGGAAGTCTCTCCTTGGCTAAGGAGGCTGTACACAACCTCCAGCCATGCCCCGACAGCCCATCCTGTCCCAGGAGGAGAAGGAGGCCCGGGCCCGGGAGCGGGACAGGCTGAAGAAGCGGAGGAGGCGGGAGGATGGGCTGAGGCGCAGCCTGGAGCGGCAGCGCAACGCCCTGGCCATGCGGCGCCGACGCTGGGAGAAGCGGGAGGCCAGGAGGCGCATGTGCCAGGAGGCCGAGCTCCAAGGCCTGGCCTGCAGGCTGGGTGGCCAGGCTTGGGAGTGGAGGCAGCAGAGGCGAGAGGAGCAGGCCAAAGCCCTGGACAGAGAGCTGGCCACCATGGTCCAGCTGCGGCAGGAGGAGGAGAGGCCTGAGCCAAGGCCTTCACTGATCTGGGTGCTTGTTCGGGTCATAGCCTGGAGATAAAGGCTGTCTGTGGGGAGGATGCGGGGTTTGATAAGTTTTCGCCCCACCCTGGATCCTTGGGGATTGTTGGGGTCCTCCCGTGGTGACCTCTGTCTCCCACTCATTGTGGACGCCTGACTCCCAGGAGGAACCCCTGTCTGCCTCGTGGATCCAGGTTCTCCCGTTACTCGTCACTTGGACAGCCAGATCTTTTGTCCCGTGTGGATGGGAAAATGGTTTTCTGGCTGGAGACTTGCATGTTTTCTGAGTTGGGGACAGGTGAGGGCCTCTGGCTCCAGCTGGAGCAGCCCTGGGAGCCCAAGGCTAGGCCACCTTCCCTCCACCCATGGGTGACCGACCATTGGGGCGGGACAGTCCATCTAAACCTTTGTTTTCTGGTCCTAGGGAACTGGAAATAGCCAGGTGCCTCAGAGTAAATATGCAGAGCTGCTGGCCATCATTGAGGAGCTGGGGAAAGAGATCAGACCCACGTATGCGGGGAGCAAGAGCGCCATGGAGAGACTAAAACGAGGTAAGCCAGGGACGTGGCTAGGAGTCTCAAGGTTGCCGTCACTGTTGAGGGACTTTCTGAAGCCAAACATGCTGCTGAGGTACCTGTAGTCCCAGCTGCTTGGGAGGCTGAGGCAGGAGGATGACTTGAGCTAAGAGGTTTCCTAGAGGAAGCACTGGAGGTGGTCAGGGAAGGGCCTCTGACCCATGGCTGGTGCTGCAGATGTGTGTGCTGTTGGAGCTGCAGCAGGGGCAGCTGTAGGTGCGGCAGTTGGGGATGGGGTGGGGGCTCATGGGGTTCTGAGAAGGGCAGCCTGGCGGTGGGCGCTCCTTACTCCTGTGCCTCGCCAGAGAGGCTCTGCTGGCCTAATGGGAGTCTTTATCCCTGCAGCTTCCCCAGCCCGTGCTCCTGTGGGTCACACTGTAAGTCCGGGGCTGCAGAGGCTGTCCTCTGGTCTGCGTAGGGAGCAGCTGGAGCGGTCCTTTTTTTTTCTTTTCCTCCTGGTTTTTCAAGGCATGATTTCTCTGTAAGTCCTAGCTGTCCTGGAACTCACTCTGTAGACCAGGCTGGCCTTGACTCAGGTGAGATCCATCTGCCTCTGCCTCCTGAGTGCTGGGATTAAAGGTGTGCACCACCATCACCTGACTGGATTTTTTTTGTTTTTAATTGTGGTAAAATATATGTAACACACAATTTAACATTTTAATAATTGAAGTTCACTCATATTATTGTATAGCCATCACACTATTTGTATCCAGAACCTTTTATCTTAGAAAATTGAAAGTGTGCTCATTAAGTCACTGCCCCCACCACCCGTGAGATTCTTCAGTGACTGAAAAGGGAGAGTGATGTCACAGAAAGCAAGGGACTCAGGTGTGAGAGGTGGCAGGGATGCTGAGCAGTGTGCTGTCTCGTGACAGAGCTGCTGAGCCGGGAGGGTTCTATTTTAGAGGACAGAGGAGCCAGGGCTGTGGTTCATTCATGATCAAGAGGGACTTGGTTGATAAAAAAAACCTTACAGAATGAACCCGGGACAGAACGGAGATGGCCTGGACCTGTGGATCCCTGATCTGTGGCAGAAGGCCGCACCGAAGTCAGACTTCCCAGCTGTCATAGCCAGGCCAGCTGAGGAACAGGCTGTAGCTGAGCCAGACTTGGCCTGAGTTCACGGGATCTCTGTGAAGAAGGAGACTTGACTGGAGTAGACTGGGTACATACAGGGACAGGACTGGAGATGGGAACTGGCAGAATGAGAGATGGGATCCCTGGTGACATGATGCTGCTTCCACAGCAAAGGAAGGGAGATAATGCTGGGAACTGGAGAGCTGGTTCCAGATAGGGATTCCTGGGAAGATGCTAACCTGTGGAGTCTTACGCAGATTTGCCAGGGGATTAATCCTATGTGGATGTGCCAAGTGGCCATTGCAGGACACATCCTGTGGGAGCTGCTGGCCCTACAAGAGTGAGGAAGACTTCAGGTCACCCTAGCCAACTGCCAAACCCATACAAGCTCATCACACCAGTGTGGAAACATTGAGGCTCCTAACAGTCTTGATTCTGCCATGAGAGTACTAAGATCGCAGTGTGAGGCACCGTGCCTGGGCACAGCATTGTGTTTTTTTTTAAAGAGGGAAGAACTGTATGTTGCTGGCCTTGAACTCCTCGGTTCAAATGATCTTCCATCACAGCCTCCTGAGCAGCCTGGCCTTTGCAGGTGTTTGGATGTAGACCCTCTCTATTCCCCTCCAGAAGGAGGACTTTATGACTGGGTTTAACCAGCAGGTCTTCTTCCTGCTCTGTGAATGGGCTGATGCCGTCTGTTTCTCTTACAGGCATCATTCATGCCCGAAGCCTGGTTCGGGAGTGCTTGGCTGAAACGGAACGGAATGCCAGATCCTAGCCCCTGGCCAATGTGAAGGCCCATCTCGCCACCCCATGGAGATGAGAGGCTTTGTTCAAGATGGCAGTAGCTTTCCTGCCTTGGTCCTTAAGCTCTGAACCCACATTCAGAAGATTGGAAGACATTTGCAGTTACTGATGATGTGCATTTTAAGTAGTTAGGAACGATCCAGCTCTTTTTTTTCCAAGCATTGATTTGAGAGATGTTTGTGAAGCCACTTCACAGCAAGCTATTGTTTGCCCCCAAATCCCAGTGTCCCCTTTAATCTCCCTTTGGATACATTTGCCATTTGCGTCACCCCAGTTGACTTCCTGTCCATGCGCTCACCTGCCTCTGGGGACTCCAGTGCAAACCACCGCGTGTTTGCTTAGTAGCTGGCCCGCCTGTGTGCAGTGTAGACCCTGCTTCACGAGCTTCTCTGCTTACGCGTTTGCATGACTGAGTGCTTTGAAGTCAGTCTCAAAAGTGCGCAAGTTATAAATACAGAAGAAAGAGCAATCTACCCAGCCTACCAAGCGCCCTGCAAATGTCCATCCTGAGACTGTAGATCTCAGTTCCGTGTTTACTGTGAGACGATCACAACATCCGGAAGAAACCGACTGAAACTTGCATCTTTGTATTTATTACTTGATGTAATAAAGCTTATTTTCATTAACAGTTTGTATTAAGATGTGGGGCCCTTGGGGTCTTAAGTACTTGTTTTTCTTTGGGGGAGGGCAGAGCCTTGCTAATTAATTATAAGTGATGCTGGCCTTTGAACTCACAATCCTTGCCTTGGTTGCCCAGTGTTGGGGTCACTGTTGAAGCTCCTGAGGGAGGGCTTGGAGATGTCTGCTAAGGACATTTCCTGTCTGGCCCGGAGGCATCTCCTGTGAGGATACCACTAGCAGAGCCGGCTTCCATCTCGAGGATGACGGAGACTCACAGTGTGGAGTTCAAGTGCGCACGGCAGCAGTGTGCCTGTCTTGGAGACCTGCTGCTCCTCCGCCATCCAGCAGGTAGGTGCTCTAAGGGTCTCCTTTTGCTGGCCAGTGTGGCTCACTCCTGTAGTCCCAGAACTCGGGAGACAGAGGCAGGAGGATCACATACTTTGTGCCAGTCAAGGCTACATATTGAGGCACTGCTTAAAAAGAAGAGTATTTTTTCGTAATGTGATACACTCTGGTGCTGAGGAAAGCGAGCCGTGCTTGGATGGATTGAGTTACTGTTAACCGCCCCCAGTATGTACTAGGGCTTGGGAGTCGTCGCGTGTGAAAACTGACCCGGCACCAGGCTTTGCTCTGAGCTGGATGAAGACAAGTGTAGGATGTACAGTCAGTGTTGTGGGTGAGAAGCAAAGAGCCCAGCCAATCACAAAGTTCAAAGGCTGGTGGAGGGGCCATGGGCTTTGCTGCATCTCCATGGCAGAGCATCTCCATCTCCAGAGTGCCAAAGGAGACAGGGAAGCTGCTCTTCCTGGCTACAGTCCCAAATTTGCCTTCCTGTGAGTTTCTTCTGGCACTTTCCGTAACTCCCTGCTCAAGGGAGCCTGATATAGGAAGGACCTGTGTGTAACAACAAAGGGATCCCTGCTTGGAGCGCCCCAGGCAACAGCTTCCAGATGTATGCAGTGCAGTGGGTCCAGCCTAGAACAGTTTGATGAACTGTCCCCCCACCCCAACAAACCCCCACACACAGGTGAGGCAGGTAACAGTGAGCCTCACCTCACAGTATTTTCCCTATCTGTAGAGATTTTCCCCCCGAGACAGGGTCTCACTGTTCCGGAACTCAGAGATGAGGCCTGCCTCTGCCTCTTAACAGCTGGGATTAAAGGTGGGTACCACCTCTGGAATTCTAACAGAAAATGAAACATGAAAAACCACCTGTAGCTTTGTGTGGTGGTGCACACCAGTAATCCTTGAAATTGGGGAAGCAGAGACAGGAGGATCATGAGTTCAAGGCCAGCCTGGGCTAAATGAGACCTCAACTCCAAAAACAAAAGACAGTAAAGTCTACTGGGTGATGGAAACCTCACTGGGTTCTGGGACCTCATCTCTGAAAAATCTACTTGATCCTATACAAAGAATGAAAGCTTTCGACATAATTGGCAAGTTCTACTTCCATTTCTGTTGCTGTGATAAAATACCCTGGCAGAAAGCAACTTATGAAAGAAAGGAATTTATTCGTTTATCTATTTCAAGTTACAGTCCGTCATTTGGGGTGAAGTCAAGGCAGGAACTCAAGCAGTGTCACGTCATATTCACAGTCGAGAAGAGAATAAAAGTATTGTTTGCTCTTTTTTAGCTAGCTTTCTTTTCTTTTTCAAGATTTATTTATTATGTATACAGTGTTCTGCCTGCATGTGTCCTTGCAGGCCAGAAGAGGGCACCAGATCTCATTACAGACAGTTGTGAGCCACCGTGTGGTTGCTGGGAATTGAACTCAGGACCTCTAGAAGAGCAGTCAGTGTTCTTAACCACTGAGCCATCTTTCCAGCCTGCTAGCTTTCTTATATTGTTCTAGATTCCTGTTTAGGGGATGATGTTGCCCACAATGGGCGGCATTTCCCGACTTTAGTTAATCCCCACAGACATCCTCATAATTTCTCACTGAGACTTTCCCCTGGTGATTATAGGTTGTCTGTGAAGTTGACTGTTAAAACTAGTAAGCACAGCAGGTAACTTAGTAACAGTTCCCTGTCATTTCCTTTTTACCAAAATCTAAGGATAAATGATACCTAAGACAGCTCAGCAGTGGCCCTGCAGTTGACCAGATACCACTAAATGCTATTTGATCCAACTTGCCAAAAAAGTGGGCTTAACTACTATCAGTGCTTTTTCAAACTGTTTTGATCTTAACGGTTTATTGGTTATTTTTGTGTGTGATGAGTGTGGGCATACATGTCAGTGTATGTGAGGAGGTCAGAGGACAACTTTGTGGAGTCAGTTCTGACCCTCGACTCTTATGTGGATCTTGAGGATCAAACTCAGGCTGTTCGGCTTGTGGGACAAGGGCGTCTGCCCAGGCCTTAGCCTTAGCTCTCCCAAGTGCTGAGACTGCAAGTATACACCACCGCGTCCACGTCCAGGATGCTTTCTCAGATGGTCCAACACGTGCCGCCATTATTCCCGGGAGCCCCCCGGCCCACCAGCAGCATCGGTCCTTTTCTCGGTGATGTTCTGACTGGCTTCCCATAATTCTTTCAACAGCCTCTTCTTTTCTAGAGTCTCCTTTGCTCTTTTCTTCCTCTCTCGCTTTCTCCTCTCAGCCTCAAGCTTCTCTTTGTGAACAGGGCTGTTGATGCCGTTGTAGAAAACATCCACTTTCTCCTGGAGGATCTTCCGAGCGATCTTTCGGTTCTGATCCACAGATCGCGTTTGGTGGCACTGCAAGAGACCATGGCGGGAATGTGAGGACCCTGGCTGTGAGGAGATGGACGGCCTCAGAGCCCTAGTCCCTCACCACCCACCCTTCATAGGGAGAGGTCAGGAGGGCAAGGGCGGGAGCCCCTTGGAGTCAGCCATGTGGGTGCTGGGAATTGAACCCAGATCCTCTGGAAGAGCAGCCGGTGCTCTTAACCACTGAGCCATCTCTCCAGCTGCAACAATACCTTTCAACTCATTTAAGCAGTTCCCAATAATTACGGAAGCACTGACTGGAGTCTAGCTTGTGGCCCGGGAGCAACCCGTGCAGAATTCACATGCCATGCACAAGTGTGTATCTGGAGGATGAGGACGCATCTTTACTAACAGCTGATCACGACATTGAGGATGTGAAACTGATGGTGGCCAGGGCCCCCCAGAGCTGATGGGCAGAGGAAATGCTGTGGCACGCGGGAGAGATTTCCAAAAGGAAGGGGACGCTAGTGGCAGGGTCAGCGAGAAATGCTTTGGGAGTTTGTTATGAATGACTCTCTCAAGGAGGAAAAGAAAGCAACTGTGGGTTTTAACTTCGTCTTCTTGGCTTGAGAAACTGGCCCTGAAGCAGCTACTGGGACTCTGGCCTCCCCTTTGGAAGGATGGACAAGTTCCTTGTCTGCCTCGGGCAATGAGCACAGGGTTACGGACTCAGAGTTAGGATACAGAGTGCCCCTAGTGGTGGAGGATCTGCTGTTGGGTTGGCTCTACCTGGGAAGTCGGCTTTGCCTTCAGGCTCCTGCAAGGCTGTGTGTGTGCTGCTTTGGAGCCCTCTAGTGATGACAGGTGGCAGTGGCTGGCTGGCTGGCGGCTCTGCTGGCCTGGGCTGAAAACCACTTGGCCACTTGCTACACGTGCATGCGGTCTGTTAGGAGCTAGTACTGCCCTCGACGGGAGACCCCCCCTTCTGTAAGCGGGTTCACACGGGCAGCCGCGCGGGGCTTTGCCCCAGCTTCCGCCTCCACCTCGTTCTTTGTTAGGAAGGGCACGTGTTAGAGACGTTTGCCAGAGCAGGCCAGAGGGACGTGGAGGAGATGCCCCACCACTGAGGACCGAGCTAGCCAGCCAGCGGCTGCCGACCAGGAGTGCCTTTGGGAGCAGCAGGCTTCAGGAGACCCGCCCGACAGCGGCCCTTGCTGGCGACACACAGCTAGGTTCAAGGACAACAGCCGAGCCCTGGCTCCACAAGACCCTGGCAAAGACCAGGCTCCTGAGACTGGGCAGGAGGTTCATCTCCAGAGGAACAGCTCAGGGCTTGGGTGCATCTGCAGTGCCCTGATTATACTGGGTTGGCAGAGCGGGCCAGGGCCAGAACGGGCATGCCCCCTCGGCTGAAACCTGCTCTGGCTGCAGACCTGGACTCCTCTCATCCACCCGCCCCTCCACTGTCTACCTTGACCACAATGCCGGAGGGCACGTGTTTGAGGACTACACAGTTGCTGGTTTTGTTGGTGGCCTGGCCCCCCGGACCATGGCCTTTCACGAACTGTTCTTCCAGGTCACTCTCGTTCAGGGGAAGCAGAGCAGGGCAGTCCTTCTTGCCCGCCACCTGCACCGCAGTGGCGGCCATTCCTGGCAAGCGCAGTGCCGGCTTCTCCTGGAGCCCCCAGTTCCCCCAGCACATCCTGATCAGTGGCGCGGGGAAACGGAGCAAAGCCCGGGTGCTCATCGAGGACGCGGCTCCGCGTGGCAGGACCTGGGATGGGGAAAGAACGAGGCCATCTTTTCACTTTGCTCTCAAGATGACAGTCAGGCTTCAAACATGGCTATTTATACAATCTCGGTGACAGTCCTTCGTGCCCATGGCACGCAGGGGACAAGCAAAGGCAGGTGACTCAGCAAGGCACACCTCTCTGGACTGGAGTTGCCCAGAATTCTGTCTACATCCTGTCAGCTAACACATACTTCCTTTCTTTTTCAAGCCTGCAGCATGGGGTATTCCCATCCAAGTACTGACGAGGCCTGACCCTGCTTAGCTTCCGAGATCAATGCGTTCAGAGTGGTATGGCCACAGACGACACGCTTTCTTACAACACCAAAAATACCCTCAGAGCACCTGGAGGTGCTGTCCTCTTAGGGGAGAGGCATTGCGTGTGACATTTAAAGGAGCAGGGATGTGGTTTGGTAAAGACATGTTAAAGGGCGCAGTGAGGAAGAATTAGGCCCTGAGTCAAGGGACAGTATTTAAATGTGAAATCTATATTTGGGCAAGGATGACAGAATCAGTCTATTTTATAGCTGAGCTTCAAGTCTGACACAGTAAACTTGACTATCAATCAGTGCCCTGACTGTTGGTTTATAGTGCTGGCAGTTTCACGGATCTGAATGGGAACATCTGTTCCCTGGGATGCACTGCCAATAATGTGATCCAACTGGTCTTGTTACCAAATCAAGCAGTTTCTCCTAAGGCGCCCGTTAGGCTTAGACACCACAAAGGATGTGTGAGTGATGTTAAATGAAAGAGCTAGACCCAAGAGCTAGCCAGAGAAGACACTCCAAACGGCGTGGGGATTGAGTATGCACGTCCAACCTGTTCTTAACGAGTTACACCCCCAGGTTCAGGAAAGTCTTTGCTTTTAAACAGTGAGAGATTTCCATAAAGCTGGGTGTGGTCACCCAGGCTAGCACTCAGGAGGCTGAGGCAGGAGGACCGCCAAGAATTGGAGACCACCCCAGGTTATAAGACCTGGTCTAAAAATCTAAAAAGCTTTAATGACTCAAGATACAGCATAACGCTGAAATCATGTAGCTGACGAGTGAACTGGACAGGGAGGGAATCCTGGCTCCAAGGGCATGGTCAACCCACAGGCTTCTGAGGTCTTCAAAGGGGTCAAAGGTAAAAATGATCTGATAGGACTCCTTGTGAAAGGTCCAGTTCATCAACTGGAAAACTGGTGAATTTGCTCTTCTCCACCCAGCTCACATTTGCTAGAAAAGATCAGAGAAAAAAGTATTCTGGGGCTGGCTCTGCTAATGACTTCCGGGGCTCTGGACTACATCTTAGTGAGCTGCTTGGCAGCCAGGTAATCTCAACCACAGCTTATTGTGGACTGTGCCTCGGCTGCGGGGTGTGCCTGTGCCAAGCATGGGGATGCTGCTTTCACCAGCAGCAGGAACCTGGTGACAGAGTCCTGGCGGCTGCTCTGTGACACAGGAGAAGCTGGCTTCTAAGGTGACTGGACCTCCAGGACAGAACTGCCCAGGTTTACAGCTTGTTCATTGTCCCTAACCACTGTCAGCGTGACTGCTGACACCGTTGTGTCTACCCAGCTGAATTCTGGGGGGTACTCTTGATGAAGGCACACTGTACTTGGGTGCTGTATTTTCCTTCCTTCCTTCCTTCCTTCCTTCCTTCCTTCCTTCCTTCCTTCCTTCCTTCCTTCCTTCCTTCCTTCCTTCTTCCTTCCTTCCTTTTCTTTCTTTTGAGGCAGGATTTCTCTGTAACCCTGGCTGTCCTGGAACTTGCTGGGTAGCCCAGGCTGGCCAGAACTCAGAGATCCTCCTGCCTCTGCCTCCCTAGGGCTATTATAGGTGGGCACCACCACTGCCCGGCTTGTTTATTTTTTTAATTTTATTTATTTATGTTTTTAAAACTTATTTCATCATCATCACTATTATTGAGACAGGATCTTTATTATGTAGCTCTGGCTGTCCTGGAACTTGCTCTATAGACCAGGCTGGCCTCAAACTCTCAGAGATCTGCCTGTCTCTGCTTCCTGATTGTTTGGCTTAAAGGCATGTGGCAGCATGCCCCTTTAAAACTGTCTGTATTTGGTGTTTTGCCGTGTGCCTACCTGGTGCCACAGAGGCCACAAGAGGGTGCTGGATCCTGATACAGAGTGATAGACAGTTGTGAATCACCATATATGTATAAATGCTGGGAATTGACCCCAGATCTTCTGTAAGAACAGAAAATGTTCTTAACAACTGAGCCAGGTCTCTAGCCCCTGCTTAATTGTTTTGTTTTGAGACAGGATCTAAGGCTGGGCTTGACCTTCTCACCCTCCTGCCTCCATCTCCTGGGCTCGGGGAGCCCAGGTGTTCACCACCATGCACGTGTTCACCACCATGCACGCGCAGCTCCTGTTTCTTCTTTCTCTCCCCTAACTTTTTTCCTCCCTCCCTCCCCCCTTCCTCCATTCCTTCGCTGCTTTCCGTCTGTCCTTCCTTCCTTATTCTGAGTTAGGTCTCCATTGTGCAGCCCTGGCTGACCTGGCACTCTATAGACCTAAGACTAAAGGCATGGAGTCCCCATGTCCTCCTTCCTGTTGGTTTGTATGCAAGCTTCTGAGTTGCCAGGAGAGTTGGGAACCGCGCTGATGCTGGCCGTCTTTGAACCTCTTTCTCTATGGGCAATGAATACGATGAACTAGAACACGTGGTCTTCTCAAGCCTTGCTACTGCTTGCTTTCAAGTCTATGACAGCATGGTCTAAGCCCACGTCTTCTTTCTGTGACATTCAAAGTGACCTGCCATACCGATGGGTGATATTTAAGACAATAGTTGGAAGGTGCTTCTCTGGAGGGGCGTTTATCAAGATCCAGAGCAATGAAAATGATGCTTTCAAACTATTTTTTGCAGGGGAGGAGGCTGGAGAGATAGCTCAGTGTTAAGAGTGCATGTTGTTCTTACAGAGGACATGAGTTACGTTCCCAGCACCCATACTGGGTCACTCCTTATAACTCCAGTTCCACTCTTGGTAGGAACTGACTCCTGAAAGTTACCCTCTTACCTCCATATGAGTACCATGGAACACACACACACATGTAAAAACATTTTTTTAAGCACTAATAAAAATACTGGTTTTGTTCAATGAATATGAAATATTTTAGAAGTATCCTTAAGAAAACCTAAGAGGGCCAGGCAGTGGTGGCACACACCTTTAATCCCAGCACTTGGGAGGCAGATGCAGAACTCTGTG